GTCGTCGATTACGTGTATTTGATCATCACCATGTAATCAGAATGCAAAGATCTATATCGTAGCATGGTTATGTTGAATCTATCGCTATGCTTGTAATATATTTGTTATGTAGCTCTCTCTCTCTCTCTCTCTCTCTCTCTCTCTCTCTCTCTCTCTCTCTCTCTCTCTCTCTCTCTCTCTCTCTCTCTCTCTCTCTCTCTCTTTCTCTCTCTTTCTCTCTTTCTCTTTCCCTTTCCCTCTCCCTCCCCCCCCCCTCTCTCTCTCTCTCTCTCTCTCTCTCTCTCTCTCTCTCTCTCTCTCTCTCTCTCTCTCTCTCTCTCTCTCTCTCTCTCTCTCTCTCTCTCTCACACACACACACACACACACACACACACACACACATACTTTCTCTTTCTCTTTCTCTTTCTCTTTCTCTCTTTCCCTTTATCTCTTTCTCTTTCTCTCTTTCTCTCTTTCTCTTTCTCTCTTTCTCTTTCTCTCTTTCTCTCTTTCTCTCTTTCTCTTTCTCTTTCTCTCTTTCTCTTTCTCTCTTTCTCTTTCTCTCTTTTTCTTTCTTTCTCTTTCTCTCTCCCTTTCTCTTTCATTCTCTTTCTCTTTCTTTTTCTTTCTCTTTTTTTCTCTTTCTCTTTCTTTCTCTTTCTCTTTCTTTTTCTCTTTCTCTTTCTTTCTCTTTCTCTCTCATCTTATTACACTTTTTTATAATGACAATCCTAATCTAGTTATATTATATAAAAAAACAAAATACACTCAGCAGAATATTTCACCAGAAGATCTGCTACACATCACCCGAATTCTTAAAAAAAAAATCTTTTGCTTACCGTTTTTTCTCTGATTTTATGCTTCTTGGGAAAAACGCAACAGACCAGAAAGAACTTGCGTATACAGCAACCAGAAATCCCAGTGAGTGTCGCTAGGTGTGTGTGTGTGTTTGTGTGTGTGTGTGTGTGTTTGTGTGTGTGTGTTTGTGTGTGTGTGTGTGTGTGTGTGTGTGTGTGTGTGTGTGTGTGTGTGTATGTATGTGTGTGTGTGTGTTTGTGCGTGTGTGTGTGTGTGTTTGTGCGTGTGTGTGTGTGTGTGTGTGTGTGTCTGTGTGTGTGTGTGTGTGTGTGTGTGTGTGCGTTCGTGTGTGTGTTCTCCATAATCTGAATGGCTTGAAATGATTTACGCTGTTGCAAGACCTGCAAATAAATGTGTTTACAGTGACTTGCAATGGCAACTTCATTGGTAGACGTATTTTCGACTGACTACCTTAAGAAGTCACGGATTTTTTTAGTATTACCTGACCTCTGCTGAATTCACCATTCTTTCTTTTAAATCACTCTTTATTCATCGTTTTTTTCCACTTTCTTTTCGTTTTTCAAAATGTCTCAGCAGAAAAAAAATGAACTCTTTCGACACTACAAACCACTACATCACATTACGTTACAATGGAAGAATATATATAATAATGTCTTGACAAATATCTCAAACCCTTTGTAGTACTTTTAGGTATCCCATATATATTTTCCCTCTCGACTACACGTGGCAATTCAGACCTAAAGAAACCTTTGTTGTGGATACTTGGACACATGTAGAGTATTCAGCTGCAGTTGTCAGTGTTATTCAAAAACTTAAGCTACTCTTTTCCTTTCTATCTAACTATAACCCATCTCGAGATCTACATTAAAAGTATCCATTAGGCTCACTTCTAATGTGACACAACAAAACATATTATTGAATATAAGGAACTAACATTATAGGAAATTATAAAACTATACTGTTTTTCAACCTTTTTGCTAACGATAACCCTAATCTATTTATAATATATATATAAAAAAACAATATATACCCAAGAGAATATTTTACCTTTCGTTTCCAAATAGATTTAGAAATGGAAAATCTAGTTATAGAAGCACTAAGAACATTTCATATTCCCAGTACGTGATAATAACTCACTTAGCACAAGGAGAACTAAATTACAAACTTTAGAATTAAATTATTTCTTGCTGTAAGAAAACCGAAAGATAAATCCGTAGCTTATTTTGAAGCAGTCAGTATGTGTCAGAGATGAACTATCCTTTGTCAGAATTTAACAGCCATCACTCAAGCCCTTGGTGTCTGAAATCCTTCGCTTGATAGAATGATTTCTTTTTCAAGTATACCCTTTTTGTACTATTTATGGGATTTATAAGAATGTCGACACAATTTCTTTGGGATAGTTTTAATCTTTCTTTCTTTTTTTCTGTTTTTTTTTGGTTTGTTTTTTTTGCTCGCGGTCTAAAAATAAAACAAATCTTCTTGACTTTATCGTAAAATCTACATGGGAAATATGGTACACTTTCAAAGACATACAAAGATAACTGGATTCATTTGGTCTACAGGCATTAAATTCTATTATATGTATTACATGAAGTATATAAGTACATTTTCCAATATATAAGATGAAATTAAATTTCCACGTAGTCCTTCCTGACTCCCTCTGTCGGAAAACGCTTAAGGAATAGTGAAATGAGACAAAAACGCCCTTAGACTTCTAGACCGGAAACCGTTTCAGTGTTTTGTTTGACAGAAGCTGGGGGTAGATTTTATACAGGCATGATAAGTACCCGTAATGTGGGGTGAAGGACATTATTTAATATTCAAAATACATACAATTAAACAGAAAAAAAGTAAAAGAAGATTTAGGTTCAAAATTGTTATTTTTTTCCCGATTTCACATCTGCGCAATTCGCTTGTTCTGTATTTTCATTTCAGAATAGATCGAAAAAAAATACATATTACCTCACTAAATGATTCGATTCCAGTGTAGATAATAATGAAAGCATATACGAAACATATATAAGTCTGTTCATATTAGAATCAAAAGAGAAAGATATTTCAGCCTGCGTAAATATGTACTCCACTATTAATTCTTGTGAAGCACAGGTATTTGTTGGAATCTATTGACTTTCAAGGATTTAATTTAACTTTAATGAAAACTGAACCAGAAAATGTGCGGTGATATTAGTCATAAATTTAATCGAGATCATATGCACACACATACACATACGCACACACACACACACACACACACACACACACACACACACACACACACACACACACACATACACACACACATATATATATATATATATATATATATATATATATATATATATATATACAGAAATATATATATACAAATATGTGTGTGTGTATACGTATATATACAGATCTATCTGTCTACCTATCCATCTGTCTGTCAGCTTGCCTGTCTCTCTCTCTCTCTCTCTCTCTCTCTCTCTCTCTCTCTCTCTCTCTCTATATATATATATATATATATATATATATATATATATATATATATATATATATATATATATATATATATATACATACATATGTATATATATATATATATATATATATATATATATATATATATATATATATATATATGTGTGTGTGTGTGTGTGTGTGTGTGTGTGTGTGTGTGTGTGTGTGTGTGTGTGTGTGTGTGTGTGTGTGTATACACATATATATGTATGTATATGTAGTATATGTACATACACATACACACACACACACACACACACACACACACACACACACACATATATATATATATATATATATATATATATATATATATAGAGAGAGAGAGAGAGAGAGAGAGAGAGAGAGAGAGAGAGAGAGAGAGAGTGAGTGAGTGTGTGTGTGTGTGTGTGTGTGCGTGTTTGTGTGTGTGTTGTATATATACATAAATATGTATGTATATATTATATATATACATATACATATAGATGTGTGGATGTCGGTGGGTATGCATGCGCGCGCGCGCGCGCGTGTGTGTGTGTGTGTATACATATATATATGTGTAAATATATATATATATATATATATATATATATATATATATATATATATATATATGTATGTATGTATATATATATACATATATATATATATATATATATATATATATATATATATATATATATACATATATATATATATATATATATATATATATATATATATATATATATATATACATATGTGTGTGTGTGTGTGTGTGTGTGTGTGTGTGTGTGTGTGTGTGTGTGTGTGTGTGTGCGCGCGCGTGTGTGTGTGTGGGGTTGTGGGTGGGTGTGCATGCGTGTGTTTTGAAATCGCGAAACATTTAAAAGTTTGTCTGAATTCATCTACCAAGTATTAGTTGTAGGACGAGAAAAAGAAATACAAAAGCGAATATATGTACAATAAATCCATCTGGAATAGACAAGATGAAAAAAATATATATATGATATTTCTTTGTTTGTTGAACATAACTTAGACATTTCAAGAGTCATGCTGTAAAGTATGCAGCTTAAAGGGCCACAATAAACCGCTTATTGATAGGTCAATGAGAAGGAATTAGTCGTCAATATAATGCTTTTATAGGACGTATCATAAGGTTTAATACTGCATGAAAGGAATATTCTGTATATTATAGACATACTGTTTATACATATGACTTCAGTGTTTCTAAGACAAAAGCGATATATTAATATGCAGTCGGTGTGTGAATTTCATACATTTATTCATTATATAAATTGCAGAATTTGTCGCAAGTTCTTTACCAATAGGAGTTTGCTTGTCGTATGTTGTCTGTAAACTGCTTGCATGCACGTTACCTAATCATATTTACAAACGCGCAAGCAGCACCAAATCTGTCAGCATATTTACAACCAGCAAAATCAAACGCCAATTAAACAGATAAAACCCCTTTGGGATAAAATTACTGATAATTTTCAATCCCGTCAATTTTTTTGTGGTATTGTCCCTCGTTCGAAACGATGCGCCAACCCACGCATAATCAATAAACTCGCTCAAAATCCCCCCAAACACATCCCCAAACCCCCAACAGAAACAAACACAGACCCAAAACCCCCCATCATCACAAAAGCCCCCAGGGAAGTTGGCATGGGCCCTTGAAACCCTGACTCCCGCATCGCAGCCCGAGGGAGGAGGCCAGCGCGCAGGGATCCGGACGGCGATCATCTGTTTGGGTGCCATGTCCGCGATGTTCCACCCGCGGGCCGGACGCTGCGTTAATTTCTCCAATGGCAATAAGACGGCGATTCGGACTAACCCCACGCAGGAGTTCAACAGGGGACTTATCTTCAGCCTCGAGCCGATCAAGGACAATGAAATTTTCGAGGTGAAGATTGACAAGAAGGTGAGAGAAATGACGTTTTGACCGAATTTTTGTTTTTGCAGAACCTCAATTGCGTTCGCCAATATGCATTGCTTGTGTGTTTTTTTATTATTATTGTTCTTTTCTCTCCCTTTTCTTACGGTCGTTTGTTGTTATGTCGTTGATTTGAGGGCACTGGTGTCTCTCCTTTCATCTCCTCCTAGTTTTAAAAGCATCAGCCAGTCAGTAATAAGTCGCAACAGCAAAATATATTGGAAAGTTGTTTTGTTTTTGTTTTTTCGTTTCGTTAGATCTCCCATATTTATCTCCCTGCCTTCATGATTACCCTTATCTTTACCGTCAGTGCCTTTATATCACCCTAGAAACACCTCTAAAACCCAGCATGTAGGATAATACCCAGAAATCACAACAAAAGAAACGGTCTTGTTACTACCCAAAAGACGTACCCATTGATTTTGTTGATTTTTGTTGCTAAGTTAGGTTGCATGCAGGTCCACTCATGACAGGGAATGAGATAAAAGAGTATGTGTTTAGAGAGCAAGAAATTTGAACTTGATTTTATCAGAGGTGACATGAATAAACAACATGCAAATAGCAGGGGTACACATTATAACCCTTTTTGTCATGAGGTTTGTTGACATTTTGCATTCTGGGTTTTTGTCTTGATACTTGGCCTCCTTTGACAGGAAGGTTCGCTGGATTGGTGATTGTTTTGAAACGCCATTTTGTCTTTTTTCCATGAGCATTGGAGTTAGTTACCGAGTTTCACATGTATGATGGTGTCCTATGCTGACCTGTAGTTAGGCTATATAGGGTAGTAGGAATTAGTTTTCCCCATTTGAAATAGAAAGTCTATGATGATGGTCTACAGATATATTTAATTCCCTCTGAGTACTGAATGATGCTTCCTGTTTCTCGTATTAACCTGAGGAACTGAATAGATAACATTTAATTGAAATGATTTTGTAAAGATTAGATGAAACAGGTCAAAACACAGCAAACATGGACCGTCCATGGCAATACAGAAAATTGATGATTTGAAGAGGGATGACAGGCTTTCTGCAGACGAGACTGTGGAAAATGGGAATTAATGTCTGCTATTTTAAGTGACATAGAGATAAATGCTTCTAAGGGGACCAGATGCATTGGTTGATGTTTTCGGATCTTGTTTCTTATCATGAACGGCTGGAGTATAACCTCAAGTATATTCACTTGTTCGTGTTTCAGTTTCTGACATTTGCGATGCTAGTTCTCATTATTAAATTGTATATTTTTGGATAGTTTAAAAGTACGGATATTTTGCACTTCATAGTTTGTATAATAAAATAAGACTCATTGCTGACAAGTTTTATTCACATGGATAAATACATACATACATATCTATGTATTTATGTAAATGTATGAAATAATTGTATGGATAAACAGACCTCCTGGGGAGCTCCTAGATCATATATGGCCCAAGGTTGACTTTGATGCTTAAGGCTGCCTTGGCCTCAATGCTTTCAATGCTTCCACATGTTAACTTCATTAAATAAAGCTGGAAGCAGTTCCTCGTTTGACCGACAAATCACCATGGACTGAAAGTTCTGTCATACCAGAGTGTGAATATTTGGGACGTGTTGGCCTTTTTCAGAGTGCTTTTTTTTTGCATTATTCTCTGTAGGTTATTGCATTGTTTTCTCTTTATGGACATTACTTCAACACTTCTTTCCCACCACATAGTCTGTGTATTCATAGTACCTTCTATTTAAAGATGGCCCTTTTTTTATTTTTTTTATTTATTTATTTTTTTATTTATTTATTTATTCTTTTTACTGGGTTTAAAGTTACTGTTTTAGCTATTAATGGTTGAACATATAATAGCAAAGCTTATATATATATATATATATATATATATATATATATATATATATATATATATATATATATATATATATATATATATATATATATATATATACATATATAATATAATTTGGTTGTTGTTGTTGTTGTTGTTGTTGTTTTTTAGTTTGTTACTTTTTTCTCATTTCATCTCATTTCACTTTTTCTTTTTTCTTTCTGAATCTCTGTTTATTTTATTTTATTTTATTTTTTTTTATTTATTTATTTTTTTTTTTTTTTGTAGTTGCTTCTATACCAAATTATAATATTTCTTATTTTCTTGGAATTTCTTCCTGTTGTGTTTTCCTCCTTTTGCTCTCAAGTTTTATTCCTTTTATTTTGCCCTTTTTCTTTTCTTATTTTCCACTTTATTTTCTTTTCCTGCCTTCCTTTCTTTCATTCTTTATTTCATTTCTCCCTATTCTATTTTCTCCTCTACTACTTCCACCTCCTTCTCCTTCTCTCCTCCTCCTATTCTCTCCTCTTATCCTCCCCCTATCTTTATCTCTCTTACTGTTAATATTATCTTTTCTTGTTTTGTCTTGGTCTTTTCCTTTTCCTTTTCCTTTTCCTTTTTCTTTTTCTTCTCTTTTTCTTTCTTTCTATTTCTACCTCCCCCTCTCACCATCTCCTATTCATCCCATCCCCCTCTCTCACTATCTTTTTGTCTCTCTTTCCATCTCTCTTTCTCCACCTCCCTATCTCCCTTTTTTTTTTTTTTTTTTTATTATTATACTTCACTTTCTTCTAGTCCTTTTTTTCCTCACTCTCAGTTCCTCGTGCCCAATCTCTCTTTCCTACCTCCTCTTATTCTCTTCTCTCTCTGTTCTCTCATTTTTACTCGTTCCTTGCTCCCCCTTTCACAGAAATTTTATTTTTTTCATATTCAGGTCCATTATGTAAATGCATCATAGATCTATTTTTAAGATTACTTCTCAGGTGAAAATCATGGGATTTTTATTTGCAAAATGTGTAATATGCTGGGTAGTATTAAGTGAATAATGGTAATCATGTATGGAAAAATTGTTCTATCAGCTTCAATATAA